GCCTAAGTTAGAGCTGCAGGATAGATCCTCAATTTCTTGTTCATATACAGCCAAAACTAATCAATAAAATATATTTAAAGACTCACTTGGGATCATAGATCTTATAAAACCCTTCTGGAATGTTCAGCTTTTACCAAAGTGTTTTGTCTGAGGCTGTTGCGTGGGCAAAAAGCAACTGCATCCCACAGCAGTAAATGGTCATAGAGAAACTGGGAAGCTATCAGTCATAAAATGTCCTTAGTAAAATTGTGTTGTCTCAGGATGGAGGCAAAGCAGCCTCAAACAAAGAACATAGGGCAGGAAGAATGGATTGTGTTAATTTTGGCTCTGGAAGGGGAGAGGAAATAAGTGTCAAGTGTGCCACGAGATGCGCTGCTGTGTCCTCATGCAAGGGCTGGTAGGAAGTGGGGTGCAGGGCCACACATGCAGCTTCCCAGCAGGAATGACAAGCATTCCCTTCAGGACAACTCTGACTAGCTGATAGCAAAGCAGAGAGAAGGTTCCTACTGATTGTGCTGGAGCACTGGCCCTTTGCCTGGCTGCTGGCAAGCTGCTTGGCAAGCTCTCAGGGAGTCTGGGTTTCCAGGGCCTGCTGACTCAGCTATTCAGGCTGTTCCTGGCTCCAGGATCCACAGGTTTAGGATAGATGTGTCCCAGCAGCTGCCTGGGTTGATGGTACCCAGCTCCATGGTTTCCATTTGGAGGAGCCAGCAGTTTGGCAACCTCTGCTGTGCCCTTCTGACAGCCTGGGAACAGGCTTGGGGACACCTGGCTCCCTCTCGGGTTACTGGAAAGAAAAGATGAGTGCCTGGCAGCTCAAGGGACCAGAAAATGGGAATCTCAGCTGTTGTCTAATTTGGAAAAACTTAATATTGTTTTGATGGGTTTTCTTTCTTATTTCCTGCCTGTAAAGAATGCTCCAATTTCTGGTCTTCTCTCCAAAACAGAATGATGATAATTTTATTCCAAACTTCCCATGGACTAAATTTCAGTCATTTTACCCTCCAGATAAATCAGATTTTCTCTTCTATGTCTGTTGTCCAGACCACAGTCTCTGTTTTTCTGTGCTTGTCCAACTGATCCCTCTGGCCTAGAACATTCCCCTTTTCATTTTTATGTTGTACCTGTAAAAAAGGTTTGTGAATCATTTTGAGTTTGTTCATGTTAGAAGAAATCTGGGGATTGATGGGTTGTCTGAGGGATGGATACATACACAAGGAAACAAGGGTTGTGGGAAGCTGGAAGAGAAGTAAAATCATGTGAAAGAGCTGGGCTGGTCTTCTATCCACAGGAGAAAGAACAGTTCTCTAGTCCCTACAATTACTGCACCTAAAATCATGGCTGAATAGTCTCAGAGTAATAGTAGTCCCAAAGTAGGAGAAGGAGTCAGAGAATGTAAATTGCCATAGCTTCAAATATCTACAGTTCTAGAAAGAACAGCATATCCTACAGAGAATGGCAGCACTGAGAACAACTCTCTTCCTTTTGTGAAGCACAACTACACAGGAATGATTTTTGTGCTGCAGGTTTTTGAGTCACATGCTGAAGACTGAGATGTTCAAAGGTGAGTGGGGTTTATGCTTCTGATTTCAGGAACAGGATTTTGCACTCCCTAAGATCAAACATTCCTTTCAGAAAGGGAAGGTACTATTGCACACCTTGTACTTGCAGAAGCTTTAGTTGCATGTCTTCATCAATTAAAAGCTGCAGATTGCAAACACGGCTTTGGGGTACCCAGCTATGAGCTCTGTGTGTCTCAACACACAGGGAGATGTTAATTCTATTTCTGATGGTCTCTAAGCAAATGTGTGCTTGCTTGCAGCAGCTTCCTACAATGCAGTTACAGAGGTGTTTCAGGACTCTCCTCTGTTCTGCTGAGGCATTGGTTAACAAAACTGCCTCTTACAATGGTCTTACTCTAAAAACCCTTGAGCTCACTGCTTTGCAATTCAAAAGCAGGCAGTAATAAAACACTCCTGGAATGTAGAAGTTCTTTCTCCACCCTGCCAATAAACTCTTGAATTATTTGCACATTGCATCTAATTCTTTTATTGTACCAAAAAGAAAGTTCAGCTGATGTGCTCATTTAAACAAGATGTTAGTGTCACTCTTTTCTACTCTGTGGAGCTGCATCCATCCTTAGTCTCCATGAATGTGTTTCTCAGTGCATTTGGGTTTGGGTTTCTTGCTGGCTGGTTTTTATGACCTTCCCTCTATTCCAGCAGTTAGGTTCCTGGGGGCAGCAGAAGGTTTCTTCTGGAGATGGGTCATTGTGACAGTCTGTTCCTTTCTCCCTTCTGTCATTGCCTTCTGCTCCCTCTCCTGTTTCTTCTTCTTCTGCAATGGCTGTTTAAGGGGAAGGGGCCATTGGTGCTTACAATACACTGGACCCTCAGCCTGGATTGTTGCTCTTCACTTTCTAGAATTGCTGTGTAGTCCTGAAAGAATGTGAGCAATATTTATGGTGGTGTGTATTACAATAGCAGCCGGAGGCCCAAAGCAAACACAAGGGCCTTTGTGCTTCCCATCCTGCAAACAGAAGTCCTACACCATGAAACAGCAAAATGCACAGGACAGGCATTGAGTTGGGGAATGTCCAGACACTGGGAGTTTCCCACTTCTTAAGCAGTTGCATTTTGAGACTGGCATTCTCTCTGTAGAGCTGGAATAATAATTTCCTCTGTCCATGTTGTGCTTAAATCTTTGTTATATGTTAAAAGCTTGTCTATTCTTGTGTTGAGCAACCATAAACAAAATTTCATTTTACTTTTTCTTTTTGTTCCCCCTTTTCTCTGAGGCTGTGTTTCCATACATTCACTTTCTTTTCACTTCCCTCTCTTTTCTTTAAGCGCAGATTCACAGCAAATCCATCAATCCCAAACCAGCCATTATACATTTTTTTCCTCTTGAGGGATGCATTTATGTGTGTAGCAAGGTCACCAAGCTCACTAAAGACTGCTTGTTTAAAAATCTGTGTGTTTGCTCACATTTACATAACCAGATGTAAAACTGGCTGAAACACCTTTCAAAACATCTTTGGAAACCTGTGCTTTACCTTCTGTTTTGTTTAGGGAAACCATACTTAAAAGAGTGTGCTCTCTTCCTTTGGAAAGGTTTTGCCTTTTATGTTGATGTAAGCTGAGGTGTACTTTTCTTGAGGGCAGGTTAAAGCACTGCAGGACTTGGGACAGCCCAAAGTTCTGGGGTCTGGAAAAGTCAGCCATGGCCTCATGAATTTTACCTCTACAAAAAGTTGCTTAATGCTCAACAGATTCAAATAAAAAGCACTGCAGGACTTGGGACAGCCCAAAGTTCTGGGGTCTGGAAAAGTCGCCATGGCTTCATGAATTTTACCTCTACAAAAAGCTGCTTAATGCTCAACAGATTCAAATACAAGGTATTTTTATACTGCAGAACTTAGACTATAGGAGCAGAGAGTGAAAGATTAAGGGTTGCTTTGGTCTTGGAGAGATTGTTCTAAGCAGGTAAAGATAGGAGATCACAGAAATTAAAAGATGGCTCTAGTGGGGTGTTAGTCAGCCTCCCCTGCACATTTTGAATCTTCAGCTGCCAAAAGCTCAGGAAGCTGAGAGTGCTCCCATCCTGAGGAACTGAACTGTAATGCAAAAAAAAATCACTATCCTTAACAGAGAAATTCAGAACTCTTACACTGATCATTTTCTGTATTGCATTACGAGGCCTTTACACCTCTCAGCTGTATTGGGGTGACCACAATGAAACAGTTGAAGTGAAATGACATGCAGGTATTGGGATCGTGTGCTGCCCTGTGTGAGAGAAGGACCCTCTTGCCCTGAGAATTGGGTAAAGCCTACCAATAGTGTGTATTTGACCTTTATCTTTCTGGAGACCAATGATGACAACGGGTATTCAGAGTTCCCATTCCAAGCACAGCCTTCTTCAAGACTCTGTGGGTGAACATGAGCTGTAATTGGTGGTTTCACCTGTAAAACAGCTCAGCTGAAGAGCAGATTCCTGGCTTGGCTTTTTCCTAGCCTATGGGGTACAGTTCACTTGAGGTAAAGAACATCAGTCATTGCTCTCTGCCAGCAGAGTGCCTGGGAAATAGGGTACACCTGCTTACCAGAAATCTTTGCTAGATCTTTTCCATCAGTTCATGACTTAATGAAGACCTGCATTTTTCTCAATCTGGTGTGTAGAAAGTGTATGAAAAACATTTGGAAAAGACTGCCTGGCAGTTAATGCAGGTAAATTTTATCTTAAAGCCTTTGGTAGGGGCTGCAATATTGCATTAGTTACAGATGTCATGAGGACAAAATCAAATGTCAACAGGATCTTACGCTAAGGCAGTAAAGTCTTATGTACATTCTGTTACGTTAAGATGGATTTTTGGTTTTGTGGCACTCTTGCACAAACTGGAAAGTCAGATTTTGAGTAGGATGTGATGCTCATATTAAAAAAAACAAACAAAAGGACACAACCCAACCACCATCTACAGCAGATATAACAAGCGAAATGTTTTTCCCTTTCTGCATTTTTGTTGCCAAAACTGCGAGGTTTTTTGTTGTTTGTTTGGGGATTTTTTGGCAATAGTAAGAGAATGTTTGGCACAAAACTAAGTAGTCTTGTACCCAAACATATATGATGAGCTCCAATAAGTTTTGGATGTATTTGACTGGGAGTAAAGTTGTAGGGTGTGCCCCATGTTAAGCAAGCAATATACTTTGCAAATTAAGAAAAGCAATATTTAGAACTGGAACTTTCAAGGCACCCCAACAGTCCTTCTGAGATTTCAGATCTTTTTGTCTCTGGCAGGTGTGTTGACACAGAACATGCTTATTGAGATCTTGCAAGGTGTAACAATATTAATATTTGTTAGGGTTTTGTATAAAAATATTCTATTGCTGCCTTACAATTGGTTTGGAAATATTTACACCTTATATAGTAACATGACTAAAAATGGCACTTGAGGAAATTACGAAAGCTCCACCTTACCGTGTTTTTCCATGGCTGCTGTTTCATTTCAGATTGGACATGGGAAGAACCCAAAACCACAGCTACCTGATGGTGCCAGAAGAGTACAATCCTCTTTCACCTTTTCTTGTGCTGTTAATGGTAAGGTATGAATCACAGCTACTGCTGGCTACGCCTTCACGATGATGTATGGTGGCTGGGACGTGCGTATCTGTAATTAATGAGAGGGAGTTGCATGGCTAATTCCCTGTGCACTGCTGACATCCTGTCTGCAGTTTTGTCCCTGAGCTTTTACTTACGTGCCTCCAACAGCCGGTTATTGCATTACATCCTTGTATTATATAAATAAAGCCTTGACCTTTGTCCTTTGCAATATTCAGTTCAGTGCAGGTTCTTAATTCAATATAGAAAAGAAGCCTGAGCATTAAAACCATTTGAATCTCCTTAAACACCTCAAATGTTGATGGGACTATTTCTGCTTAAGAGAAAGCACTAAGGCTTAGAAATTGCCTTCTAGCTTTTTGTCATTGACAAATGAGTGCATGTTCCTTCACACTGAAACTATGCAGGAAGCCCTCTCTGGGCAGGGAGTACACATCCTCCTCTGCATTGCAAGGCAGCATGGGTCTACAGAAACTATTAGCAGTGCAGGATTTTGTTTATTATTTCATCAAACAGTTCCGAAACAATAACCCTTTGGAGACAAATAACCCTCTCCCTGCTGCAGGAAAATCTCCAGTACTTTTCTTATTTTTCCCCACTACCACATTCTGTTGCTTATTTAAGGCCTGTGTTTCTGCATCCCCCCTGACAAAGCCAGGCTGACACTAGAAATATTGCAGTGCATTATGACACACACCAGCTCATGGGTGTTGGAAGCTCAGGTCCTCTCCAGGAGAGGTCTGATCTCCTTTCCCTGTCACCATCCATGTGGTTGTGTTGGGGTTTTTTGCAATGTGTGCATTAAAAGTGAAGGTAAGCAGGGTGTTTATCTCCGAGTGTCTAAACCCTGTTACTGCTGAGCTTCAGTTCCACACTGATTGAAAAGGGGCATAAAGGTGCTCAGTTTATAAAGGTGCTTCTGTGGGTATTGTGGGATAAATTCATTAAAGATTTGGTGTATTAGAGCTAGACACAATCTGGCTTTTATTAAAATCATCATGACTGTAATGCTGTTAGTACCGCTGTGCAAATCCTAGCAAAAGTAACTTTTTTATAATGATGGAGATACAGATCCTCTAATTATCCAGGACAACTCAAATTGGCACCACAAATATCTGCTATAAGTTGAGACTGCATGATGTGAAGTATAATTGATTTTTAATATGGTAGGGCACAACTGCTGTTAAGTTATATACAATGTCATTTTCTCCTGTTGGACGTTTAGCAGTTTTGAAGAAACCTGCATGTGATTTATACTATTGCTAGAGATTTGGGCTTTAAATCAATTTTATATTATTTGGAGATTCTAAACTGGATGCAGTTAAAAAATCAGAACTAAGAATTTTTATTTTGCATTTTATTCTTCATTTCAGATTTTTTTAATTTTTTTTAGTAGAGCAAAAAAGGACTCCTAGCAAACCTGTGCTTCTCCTCTTTTGGGAGAAGAAAAATAAACCTTGAGCACTGATAAACTGATTTACTCCCCCTCCTCCTCATTTTTAGGACAATTATGTGTAATTGTGATTGCATGAAGCTGCCTGGATTCCATGTAAATGATCTGTCTTTGGCATATGGGACTTTTTGTAAATCATTTAAAGGAAGGCATTCTTCTATGCTTGGCAGAGGAGGGACACAGAGAGCTTTTGTACCTCAGTTGCACCAAATTGAATATTTTTTTAATCACCCTGGAGAGGAATGCACTTGATTGCATTCTGTGAGTTGTGAATTATTGGTTTTGGGTAGACCTGGTGGGTAATGAATGACCTGACTCCTCACTGCCACCACCCAGCCACCCCCTCAAAGCCACCAGCTCTTCTCCCTTGGGCAGGACCTGCTCCACACTGGTAGCAATAGTGCAATATCCAGAGAGAAGAATGTGAGGGGATAGCCATTAATAACAAAGTTGGCAGCCCCCTGTGAGGAGAGCAATTTTCACATGAAAATCTTCTCCAAAGTAATGAAGCCTTTCTTCATTTGAAGTCTTAACAAGTAATGGCACAGAAGGTGATTTCCAGGTAAAGATTTTTTTCCCCTGAATGAAGGGTGAATAATCTATTTAAACACAGACAAAAAGCCTAAACTGTCAAAGAATTATCACCTAGTGCAGAAGTTTAATGTTTGAGGTTTTTTCCCTAATAAGTTGGTAAAAAGACAGTAGCTCTTGTATAACAGATTATTAATACTCTGGAAGAGGGAAACTGATGAAAGCTTGTGACTGTTTCTGCATATGGCTATATGGTAACATATTTAATTTTGAAGTCTATAAAGTCTGAACCTATTCCTCTCCTTTTTCATTTACAGAAAACAGTGAAGGTAAGGCCAAAACTAAAAAAGAGATATTATGCTGTCATCAGTTTAGACATTTCCCTGGGAAATACTATGAAAAATATTTAGGGGGAAAAACATATTTCTCCCTTTTTTATGCTCAGTTTTCACTCATAAACTCCAAGATTAAAGTAGTCACTTTAATTAATCTTGTCTCAATCCTCAGACACAAACAGTGGGGAGAAGCCCCTTCTGTTGGGGTATTAAATTGACATAGAGTGGGTACCAGAAAGATCAGAGGAATCACAGTCCTTGGCCTCAGTTTATGAGCTACTTACCAATTTCACAAATGTAATGCCAATTTGACAAATGTAACTTTTTCAGTGATGGGCTAATTCAGATGCAAATGTGTTTTTTGACAGTGGGGAGAGAGGAGTTAAACTGCAGCTGCTGCTTTCCCTCTGAAGAAAGAGCAGTGATGCATCTGCAGCCAGCCTTTCCCTGGTGCTCAGCACAGAAGGGATAAGCCACTCCCAGGAGGCAGACAGGGTAATGCCATTAGTGAGGAGCAAGAAATGCTCATCCCATGCTTGGAGCAGCCACTAGAAAGTGATGCGTGACACCCTAAACCAGCATGAGCACATCTCATTCCTACTGAGCTCGCCGAGCGTGTGGGGGCAGAGCTTTGCCCATCCTCTTTTCATTGAACCCATGTGTTGGAGGCTTTATTTTCACACCGGTCAGCAAAAGCTCTGGATGTACATGTCTGCACAACGCAGGTGCAAGCCTTTGGTTTATGATTCCCATCTGGAAGCGAGGCAGGCTGGGCTGGGAGCTGTGCTTTGTGTGCTGAGGAGTGGAGCTGGGGCTGGGTGACGCAAACCAAAAGGGACTTCCCAGCTGCAAACCCTTCACATCTGACGGGACCATGGCTGCCTCTGCCCATATGTGCAGATATATCAAATGTAAACATGAATCCAGTTAATTTTCACACACTTGTTACAGCTTCCCCTGTCTCAGTAGAGGCCTCTGAGAGCCCTCCTCCTTCTTAATCTTGGTGGGAAAGCCTGGATTTATGGCAGCTTAGGCTGTTCCTTGGATGCACACTGGGCTGCCAGACGTGGGACAGTGGCTTCATTGCAGCATCAAGGAGAGAGATGGGCCAGGCTGGGGGCAGATTCAGCCTCATCAATCCATATTGTCATCTTAATTTATCAGCCACTGCCACAGAGAACAGGGAGCCAAACTGATAGAAGGGAAAGGCTTCTTTAAAGAAAGACCCAGGAGATCATAAAATGTCTTAAATGGGGAGGAAGGGCTTAGTTGTCAATCAGTGCTTTCCTGCTCACAGTGTTCCTGGCATGGCTTCCCAGATAAGCACATCCCTAAATACAGTATCTGGGATGGGAAGTGATTTGTCTCCCCGGTTTGATGCTTGCTCTTTTAACCAGAACCACGGAAGGGGAAAACGTCAATGATTTCTCATATGTGCACTAAACACGTGGGTTGTGATTATTTATGTTTGTTTTTTTTTCCTGTGAGTGTCTGGGGTCCATGGGAAGCAGCAGCTCAGTGCTCTGCTAGTGCAGCAGGAGAGGAAAGCAAAGAAGGGGAAAGCTGCTTGGCTGTGCACAGGGATCTGTGAATCCCACTGAGGTTTGGGGTGCCAGGGTGTGGGGCTGTGCCAGGGTGGTGGCCCCAGGTGCTGGGACCAGGCTCTCCTTCCTGTGCATGGGTGTATGGGACAATGGCCCCAACCTGGCCAGTGAATCAGAGCCTGGACTCGCCCTGCAATCAGCATCACAGAGCTCGGGAAATGAGCCACCTGCCCCGCTTCCTCTCATTTAATGGGTTTATTTTTAAGTGGAAAAGGCTATGAGATTTGTTCCTTTTTCTCAGGGACTTCACGTCCTCTGGAGATCCCTGAAGGATGGGGTGAAGTATGAGCAGCCTCAGGGACCTTCCTTTGGGAGCCACGTCCTGGTATCTTCACTCAGCACCAGGCATCAAAGCTGAGGCTGTTCATGGGATACACATGAACCAATCTACGGAGAGCATGGCAGAATCTTCTGATGCTATCTGAGCTTCCTTCCACCATGTTCCCAAAGTGGAAACTGTTGCCGAATGAAAAAACCCCAAGTCCTGGCTCTGCTGAGCCTGTATTGTCCACATCTGTTTCTAGTGACTGTCACTGTGGTCCTGCTGAGCAGTGAGGATCTTAGGCTGGGAGGCAGCACCACTGCAGTTAGTTTGGTCTGGGTTTTTGCTAAGATCTACAGAATTGTAAATGGTAAGCCTGCCTCACTGCCCATTTGTGACCATGACACCGCTTCTACTGGACATTTTGTGTGAGGAGACTGAAACTGAGGTCCATCTGTGGAGCAGTGGATCTTCCTCCATGGGGCTATTCCTCTCATGAGCAGTATTTGACATGCTCACAGACTGTCAGCTAGCACAAAACAATCCATATCAGACACTGTCAATCTGATTTTCAAGAGTATTCTTTTGTAAACAAGGGCCAGAGACACCAAGGCGATCTAATGTGGTAGATGTTTATTTTCCATATTTTGAAGAAATGTGCTGTGTTTGTCCTCTTCTATTCAGCGACTTCTCTATCTCCATCCCACACTCTGTTTCTCTGTGGGAAGTCATGATCCAAGTGCTGCCTGGGTGCTGCAGGTCTGGATCTGGTGCTGTACCCAAGGGAGGTGTCTCTGTCAGGTGATGCCTTTTTGGGGACCAAAGTGGGCTGTCTGTGGCCCAGCACTGCTCTGTGCAGACGTGCTGGTTTCCTCATCCAGCTGCCTTGGGGATCCCCAGCACACCTCAGGCATGCCTGCACCAGGTAATGCAATGTTTGCAAAACACCAGCAATAATTAATGATTAAGTAGGAAACAAAGGAATGCATCTAAGATCCTTTCTTTGAGCAGTTCAAGGTCTATCCATGCTTACAGCCCTCTCCTTTTATTCTACTCTTCTCTCTGGATATACTAATTTACTTTAGCACCAATTAATCCATGTGTTTCAACCTGCCTGCCCATCCTCCTTTCTTTTCTCCAGGTTAGAATAGCTTTGGGAGGTGGTTCTTTAACTCTCACTGAGCTTTTGCCAAACCAGAAGTGTTCTCAGAAAGGAATGTCAAGTGCTTAACTACAATTTATTTTAGTCAGAAAGAGAATAAATAGCACACCAGCACATGTGTCAGAACAAAACCTGTCTGTGTGGTGGTTGGGTAGGTTTTAACCATAGCTCCACTTAAAGGATCATACTGCTTTCTGTCGGGAAGGGGAGGAAAAGGGGACTCTCCCAAAGCTGGAAATGACGCACACAATTTCATTTTAACTTTACACAGGTGTGAGTGTAGAGGACTGGGGAAATTTTTCTTACCTGCATGTCCTTCACTTTTACCTGGTTGTCACTGTTTGCAAAGCAAAGCTCTGCAGATATAAAAGCAAAGACAGACTGGACTGAACCTAAAAACCCAAATGTTGTCACTTCTGTGATCTCAAAACCATAGAAGGGTTTGGGTTGGAAGAGACCCAAAGATCATCTCTGCCATGAGCAGGGACACCTTCCACTAGACCAGGTTGCTCAAAGTCCCACCCAACCTGGCCTTGAGCACTTCCAGCAATGGGGCATCCACAGGTTTTTGTGTTATCTGGGCCAATGTCTCACCACCATCCCAGTAATGAATTCCCTATCTGATGTGAATAAGATCTTGGTGGTTTTTTTTACATTTAAATCCTTTTACAGGGCCTGAAGTTTTCACCAATGAAGAAGGCAGAGATCTGTAAACATCCATCTAAACTTAAGTTTTTCTGGATTTCTGATATTTTCTCTCTCCACCTTTCCATCCTATTTTTAAATATCCTTACAAATCCTTATTTCAACCATTGTTCAGGAAGTAACTAACAATTTTAACATAAACCATGTAAACAAGGCAGCATTACACAACAGCAATGTCTGACACTATTCATTGATATTTCCAGCTATGATAGTTTCCTTCTCCTTTCTTGAATTTTATTTTGTTTGGACTGTACCCATTCTTTCCTTTCTAATGTTCAGATTTTTTTTCCAGTTGATGAATATAGGGTTTAATTCTCTTTCCTATAAAACATGAACCAGCTTGGCTTTTCTCATTAACTTCCTTATTAGCATAAGCACCACCACCTGTAACATTCATCATGTGAGCAGCAGCATGATGCTGGCAGCCGGATATATTAGATAACCCATATTCCCTCTTAGAGTTAAATGCCAGGATGCAAAGATATTGCAAGTACAGCTTTCAGAACAAGTTTAAGGGTTTTTTTTTTCTTCGATTATTTTGCAGGAGTGCAATAAAAAATCTGGAGGAGATCAAACTCTGGCTCATTTGGCACAGAAAGCCAAGCAACCATGCAGGACTGGAAACTTCTAGCTGGTAAGACTAGAGTTAAATCAAAGAGGGAAGTCTTTTACTCAAAGTCATGCAATTTATTACTCCACTATAGATTCTTCACAAGACTATAATACCTTGCTGTAATGGTAACTAGGAAAATACTTTGAGGTTTTAAAGCAGGATGTGCAGTTCATGCTGGTTACTGAGTGATAAATGATACAGGCTGCACAGAAAAGTGATACAAACACATTATTTCAGCTAGCACAGCAAAGCACTTCAGACATAAATTAAAAATAACTACAGTCTTGTGGTCCTTGTCAGTTATTTACAAGCCTCTTGAAATATTTCCTTATCTGCCTTTCTCATAAGAAATTAGGCAATTATAGTATAAGTCTGAAGCCAGAGAACATGAAATAATGAATAATTATGGCATTATTACATGGGAAGTAGGAACAAGGGGAAGGCCAAAAGAAAACCCAAAGGTTTTTCATCTTCAGGAAATCTATTTTAAATTAAATTGAAATAAAAGCCTTAAATAAGTTTAACGTAATTCTGAGGAAAAGGCAGTTGCACAATGAAGAGGTATTTGGAGTCTGAAATTCAACTTCAGGATATTTCTAAACAGGAAAAAAAAAATTTTCCTGTCATTGAGCTAGTCACAAATCTTTGCATAGGGGAGTCTTTCATGAAAGAGAAAGATAAATGTGGTGTGGAAGTCCAGTGAATCAGGAGTTTCTTAAAGATGGGGGGAAAGGAATTACATTAGTGTATATGCATTTCTTATTAACTTTTAATGGCATTGTAAATGTATGCTCTATATTTATGTATCTATGAAAATATATTGTTGTGTAACAACTATCATAAGACTTTCAGGACCAATATAGTTGAGATTTTTGAGTGTTGTAGGTTTTCTTCTTTTGATTTGTTTTTTTCAATATTTGAATATTGACTTAATTTCTTCTCTTCTGATTCTGCAATCAGAGCACATTTCAAGATAATTTGTGTTTTGTTTTTCTTTTCTGGGTCAAAATTTCAGCTTGGTTAAAAAGACATTACATTCCCTACAAACCAAATCAGACATTCAAAATATGTCCAGCTCCCCTGAGCATCAAAAGGAGGAGGGATCAGAAGTCTCAGGCTTCATGTTAATTTAACAATTTAGGGGTAACATCTTTTGCCATTGTCCATAGCAGATGCAGATAAAATGAGCCAGTGCTCTTCAGTAAAGGAGTTGATATCCTATTCTTCTTGCTCTATGAAAGATGAAATCAGGAAACTGATCCCCACACTCACCAGAAATTGCAGTCTGATTATGACAGGCAGGACTGATGGCTTTGATTGCTGAACCCTTCTCACAGTCCTCTGTTCAGCTGTACTGCTGTTCACTGGAGCAATGGGCCATCATAATTGGGCAATATTCTGTTGTGTAAAAAAATATATTTCCATTTAACTTTTAAATGCAATTATTTCTTCTTTTAAATTAATTTTGTCAAGGCAGGGCAAATTGTCTGGAAAAGGCACTATTTGAACAAACTCAGATTTGCTAAAACCCAGTGACTCTTTAAACAACATCGCAGTATCCTGAATTTAGTGTTGGTCAGTCCTAGGAATGTGATTGTATTTGAGTTTGCACCCAAGTACCGACCTGAAGAATGAGAACCTAATATTTTTTCCTGACCTGAAATGTGCTGGAAGGCAACAAATGGCTAAAATTTCATTTTGTGAAGAACGAGAATGCTCTGAGGTAGTTAATGTAGTTCAAGGTATGTCATTCCTGATTTGGGAAATGGCAGGGCTGAGAACTGAATATTTTGGGTAAATGGGGTACAGGGTCACCAGGTCTACATGAAATACAGCTGAGAAATATATAGGTAATAATGACAGCTGGCAATGATATGCCACTGTTCACAAAGAACAGGCTATAGCAAATTGAGTCAAGAAAAGGAAGTCCTTGATGTTACTCTGAAAGAAATTATTAAAAGCAGTTTTAGAATATTTAGCTTGGATTCAGAGCAAAAAAAATCTTTTTTGAAGGATGTGATAACATATCCTTCTAATAAGAATGTGAACATTTTAACATCAGTATTTAGCCCACTCTTTGCATGGATTCACATCACTTAGAAACATGGTGAGGAAGCTCTCACCATCCTATTGAGAAGTGAAGGATAAAGATCCTGAGGAAGAGGAGTTGCTGAGTAAGCTCCATTTCCAGTTTAGAACCCCAAACAGCTTCTCAGAATAAGTGTTAGTTATGTCTTTCTTGTGTTGTGCCTGTCTTTGAATCCTTTCCTCTCAATAAACACACAGGCTTCACTGTTTGTTGTCAGGAAAAAAGTCACAAAATGTGAATAATACTGAATTACACATTTCTAAGGGCCTGAGAGAGGACAAGGATCCATCATGCAAGGTGCTGTGTAAACATGTAGCCAGTACTTAGAGTCTGAGTAAATAAAACAGGAATAGAAAAGTTCGGTGACTTGCAACAACCCATGAGAAGAAACAACAGCCTGGAGTCAGTCCAGCTGCTCTGACATCTCGTCCATTGCCTTTTCCACTGCATATTGCTGAACTGACATCTTGGATGGTGCAAAAAGTATTGCATGATATATACCAAATGGGAGGCTTATCACAGTTATCTCTGCAATGTCTGGCACCAGAAGGATTTAAAAAACAGACATCAAATTACAGAGCCATAGATCTACCCCGAGCGTGTCTGTTCAGTGCAGTAATGCATAACTGCTTGATTACCATCAATGAAATCCTCATGCTGCTACTCATCTCTACCTGTCTCCAAGTACGTTGAGATCAGGGCCTAAATTTATTTCTTGCTCTTGGTCTCAGGTGTAGCAATTAAAGAAATGTTCTGTATTGCTGAGAGCACCAGATGTGTGCAGTGGAGCATCCCATCCTGACAAGCATTTTGCTTTTAATAGTTCCTTTGGGTACACATTGGCATCTGGTTTTATTTCTCTGTTTATACTTTGTTTTTCTGTTTTATGGCACTATTTTCTTGATGGGCTTTTTCTGTTCCTTGCCTTAGAGAATGGTTTGGAGTAGCATGGATTATGGCACAGCAGCATTAAGAGTTGTCTCCTGTTCCTGTTCACAGTTTAAGGTCATTCTAAGTTCTTCATTTGACTGGTCCTGTATGGAATAAACAAAGAAAAATATCCACTGATTCTGAAAACTGAATTTTGAGTCATGCTGATGTCTTTCTGGACTTTCTTGATGTCTCTCTTGTCTTCCTGGACCTGGGACCAGACTTAACTATATATGACAAGCTTTCTTTGGGAGCAAGGTTGAAGAACAAGGCTTTTTAGTCACAGAAGTTACAAACCTTCTTTCACCTGCACCCTAGAAATGGTGGGCACAAGAAGGTGGCAGGTGATTTTCCCTTGAAGTCTGTTTGCAGATTTTGTCCTCCAGTCTAGCTTTCAGATGGTTCTTCACTGCACAGTGGAACAAGATTCTGAATTGCAGTCTTAGTGTTAGGGTGCAGCAGCAGGCACATTCTGATTTAGAGAAATCTGATCTATTTTTCTCTGAAATGCTTTGTACCAAATTGAGAGTGCCATGATGGGTGTGACTAGCTGACAAGAGCTACAAACTATGTTCATTCCTACAAGTAGAGAAGAAAGTCTTTCCTGACTTCTGCAAGTGGTTTTCTTTACTTCCTAGAGAGAGGGATTTGACTACTTTGACACAGTATGAGCAGTGTTAAATGTTACTCAGTGTGGTGAGTGCTATTTCTTCAAACTAGTACAGGCAGTCAAAAAAAAACAGATTTTCACACACTTATTATTTATAAGGAATGTCTGGTGTATCATGACACCGTGACCAATGGTATCAGGGTCTAATATTGGAACTTCTTATCTCACCAAAACCTCATTTATTTAGTTTTTAGAACAACAGTTCAGGTGAAACCATGATAAGCAAAAGATTAAAGCTCTGTCAGATAAAAAGCAATCCTGTACCATTTCAACTATCCTAGTTTTCAAAAGAGAATGAAATATTCAGTAATTCATACAACCATAAATATTGAATGGCCATTGCAATGGATTGGATTAATAGATACATAAGATGAATAAAAACATATTTGATTTAGTCCTCTGCTGATGGTGCCAGCAGATTACAAGGACTAACCTGTCTACCGCAATGTTACCCATCAAATAGCTATAATTCAAATATTTCCTCTTTTTTTCCCCCTCTCAGAAAAATAGCATAGCCAGGATAAATAACAGCCTTTACATCATCATTTTGTTTCTCTGGAGATTAATCCTGATCTTACCCATCCAATTTCATGCACATGAATATTCCTGTTGATTAGGGTAGGAAAGTTTTTCACATCCACAAATCTTTGTGGAATTTGGAGCCGTAATGTGTCAAATTAATTCCTGACCTCATTCAGCTACCTGTGCATCCACTTGGCCTGACAGCACATGACAGAATTTGGGCATAAATTTGGTGTGAGAACTCTTGAAGCACAAACAGGAGCCAGGCTCCCACTGATGGTCCCTTGGGATTGGGTCCCATTCCACCCTCTCTCCTCCTGTCTTGTAGGGATGAGCATTCCAAGGGTGGAGGTTAACAGGCATTCCTAACTATGCATGGCATCCTACTCCTTAATGCTGACACAAATGGACTGTTTCCTAGGAGATAGCTCAAAATCAAATAAATTATTTGAGAGATATTCATGTTAAAAGAGTCCGTGGAGTTCATCTTTATATAAAACTCCTGTTACCAATTAGCTGGCTCTAGATCAGGGCTTCAAGATGGGGCAGATATGATGTACTTTCCTCTTCACTGTGTGACAAAAGCTGTGTGTGGTCAGACCCCCAGACCCCTTTTCCTGTGTCGTGTGCCAGCTGAGTGCTCAGAGCCCCTGCATTCCTGCTCCTGCTCTCTTTCCTCCTTGTGCCCTCACAGTGGCATCTCCCACATTCTGAGGGTAAGTGTGAGTGATGTTTGCTGGAGGATTCCTCTTTCTGTCCTCATGGATCCAGGGTGCTGCAGTGTATCAGGGCCCAAAGCCTTGAGGCTGCAGTTTATCCCCCCACCTTGCATTTCAGAAGTGATAAATCAAACATTCTGCTTTGTTTTTCTCCACCTCCAGTGGCTTTTCAGATTGCACCTAGTTAAAGAATTGCCCATGAGCCAGCATTAAAGGTGTACCTCTAGGAAATATATTACCTGAATAAAAATGTTCTAATTCAGAAATTTCTTTCCCACCTTTTTGTTGCCCTTGTTAGGGAAAAATGCTCCACTTTAACCTCCAGCTAACTGATTACCTGCCAGTTCTGATGCTGTGCTTGGAATTAATGTGCTTCAAATGCCAACAGAGATGACTTGTGTTTGGGCACCTCATGGGAAAACAGGGAGATGAAAAGCCTTAGGAAAACTTTGACAAATAACTTGGAGTGTTTGACCAGCTATGCACAGCTGCTGCTGAATGGAGAATGCAAGTAACATGCCAAACAGAGACAAAAGGGGATCAGCAGGGAAGGCAGCTTTGGTATCAGCACTGGACATTTTACTCGCAGGAAAGCAGAGGAAATATGCTGAATTACCTGTAGGAGGTGTGCCTGCTTTTGCTAATAGATGTGCATGATTAAAAAATTCCTAACCACCAGATCCTGTACCAATGTATGCTGGAATTCTCTCTGAGGTCAGTGGAGATACATTCATGCACAGCACCTAAATTTGATTGATTGCATCCCACCCATCTAAACATGCCTTAAAGACTTGTTTGCAGAGCCACAATCCCTCTGCCTCCTCCAATTCCCTGTTTGAGGTGATAATGTCTCCTCATAAATCCTGGCTGCGATAGCACCAGCATGACCCATCACTTCATTACACCAGAGCTGAGTAGTGCACTGAGGAGGAGTTTATCTGGACAGAATGGATCTGGTCCAGGAGCAAATAAAGGAATCTGATTATTTCTGGGCCAATTCTCTGCGAGTTACAGCTTTCTCCATTTTCCTGATGTCAGCTAGTTTTACTTGTTTTGTTTTCCTTCCTCACACAGGAGGTGAAATATCTAGCTAGCACAGACATCTTGATGAGCTGCTGGTGTCAGGAAGGCCAACCTGAAATTTGGATCTGGTTAGGATGCAATGTACCATGAGCAGTGTCATTTGGCTGTTTTGGTGCATGCCAGGCTTATTCCAAAACTGGGGATCACCTCACTACAGGAGCAGAAGTGTGGTGGCTCCTCAGACACCCCTGTCTGTCTTACCCAGTGCTGTCTGGGCGGGGCAGCCTGATTTCCTCAGCTTTGTGCAAATGAGGAATCCTTGTACTGAGGATTTCTTGATGACCAGGTACCGTGGACGCAGTATTGCTTCTTTCACTGTCAGCATGAAGGGATTAGAGGAGAATGATATATCATCTCTAGGGCACTCTGCATGGCATCAGACATGAGTGCTAGGGGGAAAGAACTATTTCTTCTATTTTATTTATTATTTCAAGTGTTTCTTTATGATTACTTCCTAGTGATTTCAGAGATAGCTGTCTATCTTGGCCTTGCACTAACTTGTTTAGTCTGATGCCATATATCATTTGTTTGTTTCTTCCAAGGCACTACTTTTTCCATGTATTTATCTAACGGTTTATATTTGCTTAATGCAAATCTTTCAACAAGACACTCAGACTTCATTCAATGATTGCTGGAATTTTCTCTGTGTTCCAAAGCATAAAGATTACATCTGTGTGTTGAGCCTTCCTTTGAAAAATTCCTTTGTGATTCTCTGCAAGTCTTGCAGACTTGATGGGCTCAGTGGATGTAACTCTTGCAGGTACTGACTGAGGTTCTAAAGTATTTAATTGGTCTTGAATTCACAGTGAAGCTCTCCAAATACAGGACTGGGGTATTTAGTGATCTCTTTTTTCTGTTCTGCATATTTGAGTTGTCAATTCTAGGTAAGCTGGCACTTGCAGAGAGGAATTGTGAACTGTGGTGGTTTTCAGCAGAAAAGTAAATGTTGCTAAGGGGAACTCGTGGGTGTATGTCCTTAACTGCAGCACAGTGACAGCTCCTCAGTCACTGCTTTTGGCACCTCTTTTTACTCTGTGCCTGCTCTGAGGTTTAGAGTAAGCAAAAAATCTTATTTGACAGAAATGTTTTTACTCTTTTGTAAAATTTTGCTAACTTATAAAATTTTTATTTTATTTTTTCACTCAGGTTTTCATTTGATTGGAAAGTACTTCTGCAAGGCTTTATGGAAAAGTTAGCTGGATGTTTTGTCCTGCTCCTTCCCAGGTGGGTACCTGCCTATTCCCAGTGTTCCCACACCTTTTGGTGAGCATATTCCTGTGCTGCACACTCAGAACTGGTGAAAAGATAACTTACTTGCTTGTTTAATTTAGTTTCAAATTACCATACTGGGGAATTCATTCTTTTCTAGGACCTAAGCACCAACACAGAATTCTTCCTGGTTATTGGTTAACACCAGTAACTAGGTGCCAGGTGGCATCTTCACCACCTCATGCAGAAATTAAAACAAATGTCTCTTATTTTAGAAAACTGATTGAAAATGAATATAAGGCTGCATGTTCTGGGGGCTGACTAAGGTATGAAGGACTAAATGTAAACCCCCATTGCAGGCTGCAGTCTGCATATCTTTATGTGATCTCTGTTACACCACAGATGTTTGGCCCAGAGAAGACAATTTCCTAGTGCCAAATAACAAGAATAGCTCAGAGGAAAATTATTACCCAGCTCCCAAGGGCATTGTGAGTGCTATGGTGCTGCTGCCCAGAGGTGGAACCCAGCCCTGCCCTCCTGCCTGAGCAGCCAGTGTTGGTGCCCTGCCCTGCTGCTGGGGAAGGGATTCATAGAATCATTAAGGTTGGAAAAGATTTCCAAAATAAGTGTCCAATCTTTAGATTGAGTCCACTGAAACAAGTCATTGCCCTAAGAAACTGTGCTGCAAACTTGCATCAAGTACTTGAGCGGGAAAGCTCTCTTATCCAGCAGCCATATCATTAACTAACATAATTAACTAACTTAGTTAACTAATTTCTAATCAGGTAGAGGTTTAGATAGAATCAAGAATGAGCATTTGGATTGAGAAACAACACTTTGATATTAGAGCTGTGCCTTTTCTGTCATGTTGTGTGAGAATTACACAGCACATGGTGTGGGGAGAGTTCATTGCTCAGAGTTTTGCTTGTGGGGAAGAATCCCTGTCCAGGTGCAAGTGGTAAAAATCATACATTGAGTTGAGGGCAGGAGAAAAATCCTCTAGAAAATAACGTCATGTTGTGTGAGAATTACACAGCACATGGTGTGGGGAGAGTTCATTGCTCAGAGTTTTGCTTGTGGGGAAGAATCCCTATCCAGGTGCAAGTGGTAAAAATCATACTTTGTCAGTTGAGGGCAGGAAAAAAATCCTCTAGAAAATAAAAATCTACAGTGGTTTTTGTTGTGTTTCCTTTAGAAATAGATGACAATTTTCTGTGGCTCCTTAGTGCCATGAAGGAAAAGAAATCCATGTATGTTTTTACAACACACATTCATTCATCTTTGAATTTTTAAATTAATATTTTTATCTTCTGAAAATAAAACTTGAAGTCATGCATTCTGAAACAATGACAGCCTAAATTTGTTATGAATCTCCAAAATAAAATTTTATTTTCTTATTAATAACCTCCTTCATAAATATAACAACTGTGTATATATTCATTGCCACAATTCTGAAGAATGTCATATCACTAAAGGGGAGAAATTACTACTAGACACCTGGAATTGGAATTTGTTAAGTAATAAACTAGCTTTTGACAGCTGCAGCTCTTTTTTTGCAGGTGCAAAAAGAACATTTTCTTCTTTTTGTTTTATCTGCTTTACATCACTTATTGACTAGAGTATTCCAAGTTGGGAAAGCAACTGGTAGTTGAAAGAACAGGAAAATTTGCTTATCCTTTCCCATTTTATGAGTAAAAGGTGAGTAGGGGGGAGGGAAGATCTGAGATCAACCAGTTCTAATCTTGAAGAACAGGGAAGCAAGGAAAAAATAGCTCAGCTGATTTATTGCTGTTGATATTTGCACTGTTCAGTACCTCAGCTGCCTTGAAATGCAAGGAATATTTTGATAATATTTCCTAAAATATGCAGGACACAATGCAGTTCCACTTAAACAATTATGTTCTTCTGGATATTTTTGTTCAGAAGCAGCATGACACAAAGCACACATTAAAAAGTGAATCAGGTGACTAAAAACTCCACGTCCTGTTTTCTCATAAATCAAACATAAAAATCAAACCCCAAAATAAATGCTTAGGTATATAGTGATGTGTGACATTAGTGTGCTATTTGTTTTTGTTAACTAAGAGTTAACAAAACAAATACTAAATAACAGCATAGAGTTACCTTTCTTTGCAATCAAGCATTTTTATTAGGTGTCAGTCTCTGAGAATAGCCCTTTGTCATTAATATCTGCTAGAAGGCACAACTGCAATGCAAATTAAATTATTTAAATTGTGATTTAAATCACAATTAACAAAACTGATTTAAATCAAAGTGATATAAATTGGTCCCTCCTGCTTTAAAATTAATTAAGGATGTGCTTTGAAAGCATGCTCCTATCAGTGCTCTGACTCAGTGGGTTCTCCATATCACTCAAGTTTTAATAAATCAGAGCAAGGGATGGAATTTTTATTTAGTTCAACAGTCTCGGTCTCTAAATTTAAGGCCACTGAAGAATAGATTAACATTTATAATTGCTAGGTTGATCAGTAATGCAAATTTAAAATGGGGATTTCAAAACAAATTAACCTTTGCAGTACATCTTGTGGAGACAGACAGACAATGGCATTGTTGAAAATGTTCCCCCCATCCTTGAAGTCACAAATCACTGTGTACTTCATGGTGCCTTGCTGCTCCACAGCCTCTGGAGTCTCAATGTCCAAAAAATAAACTGTGATAGCTGAAAGAACAACATGGTTTCTTTGAGGCTGGCAGGTCCCTGCATGGGCTATCGCTGCTTTGTGTCGCTCCAGGCAGACTTGTGTATTTTGGGCTAAGATTAGGATGTTTAGGCTAGGGGTAAGTGGGTTTAAAATTAGATATGTCCCAACCCCTGATCTATTAATTAAAGCTCATACTTCCCTCCATTTACCCTCCACCTGTAACGAGACTGTGATTTAAAGCAGTTGAGGGAAAATGGGCTTTCTGTACCCACATTTTTCTGCTTCAGTGTGCCCATCCTGTGCTCTGCTGAAAGCCTTTCTGTCCCTCTTTGGGATATCTCATTAATAGAACAGGACACTGTGTCAATATGGTCTGTGCTGCCTTTATTTATTTATTAAATCAAGAGCTTAGATCCCATCTGGAGAAAACCACCCTATGTGATCAGCACCTCTGCATTTGCAATGTTTCACCTCAGGCAGAAAAGCAGTCATGACTGAGCAGATGGAGTGGATTTTGATGGCACCATACAGAATCTGAGGAGGTCCAGGACTGTTCCTTCCACGCTGACACATCCATGGAGCTGGGAGATGCAGACCCCTGTGGGGTGTTGTGTGGAGAAAGAGTGGGGCAGGGCTAAGGACAATCATGGATGGAATGGAAAGAGTGATCACCTATGAGAGGAAACAGGTTTGGTCTCTCCTGCTGCAGGTGCATCAGCTCCTGGGAAATTCTTGCCAATCCATGCAGCTGATGCAGGAACTCCAAGCTTTCTGTGTGGTGGTGTCCCAAGGAGCAGAAGACAAGCTAATTTGGGTGAGGCATATATGCTGTGTTTCTGACATGGCTCATAGACTAGAAATTGTTGTTTTCACATCTGCAGTTTGCCCAAAATTTAGGTTTCTGTGGGCAACCTTTCATACCTTCAATGCATACCACAGAATATGCTGATTTGGAAGGAATGCACAAGGATCATTGAGTCCAGCTCTTAGCCCTGCAGGGGACACCCCAAGAGACACAACAAAGTACTCTCAGGGTGCCTGACAGATTGTCCAAACATTTATTGAACTCTGCCAGGCTTGAGGCTGTGCCCACTTCCCTGGGGTGCCACCACTAATAACTGAAGTTAAACATGAAGAAATGTTCCCTTTTTCTCATAATATCTGTGCTTCCACAGTCCTTACCAAAACTGAGCCATTAGAAACAATTGCAGAGTATATGACCCATTGCTCTGACCCTGTGGAAAATATTAGCTTATGCAGATGTTGATGCACATCCTTTGTGTAATGGTAGAGCTATTGTGTAACTTGGCTTTTTTTCTATGAGCAAACTTACACCAGGGGAAGCTGGTAGTACTATCTTCTGATCACAGAGCTCCAGAAGGATATAAATAGGGAATGAAGAATGAACAGTGGTATTAAAAGCTTGCTCTGAATGGATTTTTTTTTCCCCTAAGCTTATAAATAGAAATAAAACCTAAACAACCTAAACTAAATAGACCGGAATAAACACAGAACTGTGGCAGGTATTGTCATCACTGCTCACACGAGTGAATGGTTTTTTGGTTTATAAGAAAGCAAAGCCAGGAAGGAACCTTAAAGGTGTCCAAGTCTGAGCAGTGGAAATGCAGAAGGTTTTTCCAGGAGGCAGAGCACAGATGAGGAGCCCAGCCCCGGGTCTGCTGGAACAGGTTGTGGCTCTGGGCAGGGCTTGGTGGTGCCCACATCAGGCGTGGGAGGTGGGGACAGCCCTCTCCTTCCTGCCAGGGCCACACCAGCCTCTTCCAGCTGAGATGCTCCTGGCTTCTGTCATCCAGAGGATGGCAAAATGTGGGTGGTAGGTGAAGAAATGCTGATGAAGGGGATATTGATGAGGCTACTGAATAGTCTGCCAAATACTTTGAATATTTTTCAAAACTTTTGGCAGGATTGCAGTCTGGAAGAAAAAGACCTGTGTGTCTTTTTCAGTAGATGTTTCCAGCTGCTGGTAATGGTATTGGCAATAGGAGTTAATTAATAACTGGAAAGTTATTGCTTTTTAATGCATGCAAATGTTGTGCAACTGCCTTTGACGTTCAGCTAAACATGCCCTACTTCACATATCACATTTTTGTCATCTAAATAAATTGCAGGGTGTTGAACAATATCTTCATTTCCCAACACGATATTATTTGCTAAACAATTTTGGGGTGTTTTGGTTTTTGGGGTTTTTTAAATTTTGTTTTGGTTTTTTTCCCCCTCTAAGAAGAATAAAATATTGCACTTGGCCCTTTTCCAAAATCAAAGCTCTTTGGTATGGTTAGCCTTTCTGGTCTGTCTTATTACTGATATTTGTACAGATTACTGGCAAACAAATTTATAGCAGTATTTATTGGGCTGAATTTGAGGTTACTTATAATGTGGTTAGATGGCTATTTATTAGAGGTGTCACAGTAGCTATTTAACACTTCTGTGGCTGTCTAGCTGGAATTAGGACATAAAACAGAATTTATTGTATTTTATCCAGAAAATGTTACAGGAAGAGTAAATTCTAGAAAAGACAAAACTGTCAGAATAATGAAGGGTCTAGGAAAGAAGAAAGTAGTTTTAAACAGCAATTCTCAGCCAAACTGAAGGAGGGAAATATTTAGGATGTGAGGAAGTCCAGGTGCAGATTTTAGGTTCTCTAAAGTGCACAGCACTCTGCCTAAGAGCTGACCTTTCCCTCATGAAGTAGACATTTTTCATTTAGAAAAGGAAATGAGAGTCATCTTCTTTGATTAGTTTTGTGCTGATTAAGTAGAGTTAAAAAGTTCTATGGGACCATTTTCTCAAGGAACAATTTCATAAGAATCAAGCCTTTCACAGGCAGGTGGTACTTTGGTGTTTTTAATGTGTTGTGTTAAGGTGGTATTGACTAGTGTGTTTCACTGTGATGGATTCAAGTGACTTTTTTCCCACATTAGTGTGTTTTAACTCTGCATTTCACTGTTGTGAAAGCTTTTTGCAGCATCAGGACAAAAATCTTTAGTTTCTATTAGCATTTATGGGGTTTGGATATTTTTCTTATTTGAAACAGAAAATGAATACACATGTTGAATGTCTCATGAAGAAATGTGGATGAGATTTCCCTGCAAGGAAGATGCTGTAAGTGCAAAAAAAATTCAAAAATACTTATGAATTTTCTTTAAAAATAGTTTTCTGCAACATTTAGAAAATGTCGGTTATTTAGGAAATAAGTCCCCATTTTCAGACACAGACCATCTTAAAATACTTCACCAAAAGAATTCAGTATTTCTGTTTAACAAATAAACCCATTTCTGTGGGAGGATGTGGAGGAGGGAGGAAATGAGGCCATGGAAAGGTTTGCAGGTGTGAGGGTGAAGCTGGGCAGCCACTGCTGGTGAAGGTGCAGGGGAGGCAGGAGAGAGTGAAGGGAGCTGTTCCCCTTTTCCTTGTGCCTCCTTCTGGCGTTTTTTCTTGGCAAAGGAGTGTTTGTGCCCAGTGCCACTGCTGTGCAGAAGCAGCAGACCCCATCCCAGCTTTCCCCTTTCCAGCCCAATTCAAACTGTTCACCCCAGGTCCCATGGGAATACCCTCCCTGCATATTCCTAATTATCTCATCACAGGATGGCAGCTGCTGTGGACCCATAAATACATATTTATCCAGTGATTCTTGCAGGTGGAGGAACTCAAATACTCCAGCCTTCAGATACTGCAGCCTTGAATGGCACAGGATGAGATGTTGAAGCAGGAGATCATGGGAGGAAACCTCTTTTGTCCAGATTACACCTGCACTGAGATGAGTTTTAATGATGATTTTTTAGAGTGTAGCTGCCAACTAAGCTCAAGCTAATGCTGGTGAGAAACTACAGTAGGTAATTCAAGGAGACTACATATTTTCTTAAATTCATTAGCTACCCATTGGGGGTTGAAGAGAACACAGCTGAAAATAATTACATATGAATTATGAAGTTCAGATGGAGTGTGTTACTTTGCTCACACAAAACTTCAAGGGAGACAAATCAGAGAGGTTTATTAGCATATTCTACTTTTCCAACAAACCTTATAATGAAGGGAAAATATAATAATGTAAAGGAGTTGAAGATTCATGTTTCCATAATAGCTGTATCTGCACTATCCTTCCTGTGAAATTTATTCTCTATGGGTGGTGATGCTGTTGAATAGTTTTTATTTCTCAGCCATCTTTGTTTTTTCCCCTGTAAGCAGCTCTTTTGTGTATGGCCATTAATATGCAATCCTCTCCTGCCCAGGACTTCCTTCAGCTGCATTACACCTGAGCCAGGGGTTTTGCAGAGAGCAAAGGGCAGCACACAAAACTGATCATAAACACACTCCCAAAAATTCATTTTTATTTGAGCTCATTCATTCTAATTGTTCTCTTGAGGCTGGATTTGGAGCACAGAGAAATCCAAAGGGGGCTCATTGGGCTGTGGGTCAGGTTTTCAGGTCACCTGTACATGGCAAGTGGTGAATAATGAGCAGCACAGTGCCAGCCCCTTAGGCCTGACCCTGAGGATGGAGCAGGAATTTGGCCACTGATCTCATCAAGGGCAGTCCCAGGGATGGAGCAGAGCACAGCATCACTCCTGCAGCAAAAGGCAGTCACAGACCTCAGTGACCAGCAGGCTGGTGTGCCCCAGCAATGCACTGACCATGCCCTGATTAACTGCTGCAAACTGAGCCCTGAACATTTTCTCTGTGGAATCAGTTCTTTTGTTGATGGCAATGGTCCAAGAAGTTGTTAGAGTCACTGCTGGGACATATTATGATTACAGATACATTTCCATGCTCAGTTATGAGTACTGTGGTGACTGGTTTGTCCCTTCCACTAGTATAAACAGGTTAGGATTAATACACATTTTTGCAAACCAAACTACAGATATTAACAACTGCATTGAATTTAGGGTGGATTTTTTTTTTTTTAATTTGGTTTTATTTATTTTTTTGTTTGTTTGTTGTTTGTTTGTTTGAATTGATTTTTTTATTGTTGATCTGGAGATTTTGTTTTGTTTTGTTTTGTTTTTTGGCGGGGGGGTTTGGGTGTTTGGTTTTTTTGAGGGGTGCTGAGGCTTTCTTTCCTAAACAGAATCCTTTAAGCCAGTTTAAAAAGTTTCTTCTTGCAGACAGAAATGTTCTTCCTTTTAATCTAGATTAGGCATTTGGATGGGAAATGGAATGTGAAGGTCCTGGCCCAACTTTCTGTGCAACCACAAGTGAATCACTTCATGCTGTGGCCCCTTTAAAGTTTGCTGTACCAAACTTTACCCTACTTTGCTTGATTTAAAGCCTGTAGGAGGTGGTTGTCATCCTTTGCCTTTTTTAGGGACATCAGCATGTATGCTGCAAGACTGGGGATTCTGGACATCACCACAGTAATCACCACAAAGGTCTGAGAGCCTCTTGGTCAATTCCAAAACTCCCACCTATTTCCACAGTGTTAGAAACAGGTCCTTGTTGAGCTGCTTTTAGCTTTTATCATCTTTGATGAAGCTTTTAGCACTTATCATCTCTGTCTCCATGGGTGCCTCTTCCTGGTGTCCTATGCTTTCCATACATTGAGTTCTACTGATGTCAGAAAGGATCAGGAAACAGATATATAATTACAAAGGGTAAGATTAACTGCTGGCAGAAAAAGGAGTGTTCAAGGCTGGAAAAAAAAAAAAGAGTTAAAATAAAATTAATTTCTCTTACCCACTTTCCAAAGATGCCAGCCTTTCTATATAAACTCCTCTGTCATTAATCTAATAGAGCTCTGCTTTGTTCATAATTTACTACACTCTTGAATAAGCCATTCTAATATTTGTGCAGGGCAAGTACATAAATCATTGTTGCCCTGCTCTACTTTTTTTACTTATCTGGTTCTTCCA